TTCCTGCTATATGACTGCTTGAAGAGACATACACCGATCAGCCATAACATTATGACCACTGAGAGGTGAAGTGAATAACATCTTTAATCTCGTTACAATGGTACCTTTCAGTGTGAGGCAGCAAGTGAACATTCAGTCCTTGAAGTTGATGTGTTGGAAGCAGGAATAATGGGCAAGTGTAAGGATCTGAGTGAGTTTGACAAGGGTCAGAGCATCTCCCACACTACAGGTCTTGGTGGGTGTTCCTGGTCTGCAGTGGTTAGTACCTGCCAACAGTGGTCTAAAGAAGGACAAAGGGTGAACTGTCGACAGGGTCATGGACGCCCACGGCTCAAGGATGATGAGGTTGACCGACTGTAGATTAAACTTTTAACTTCCATTTATACTTTTCAAAGGTTTATTTGATCCTTTGTTAAAATGGTTGAAAATGAGAAATACTGTCCATTGATCTCTATGAAGAGAGAGAGTCAGGGGCAGTAGTGGTGATATCACACCTAGAGTAGTGAGGCTGTTGAATTTGTCTAAAACATTCTTTCTAACTTGTCCTCCTGACCACAGTTTTCACTCCTTTCACATAAGTCTTTCACTGAATTGTAGACACATCTGTGCTCTTCCTGACAGTAGAACTGTGGAAGCAAATGGATTCAAAGAAGAGGTACAGTGAGCTGTAGAGAGACACGAGCGCCAACCAACTGCCACATTGACTCCTATGTTAACAGCATTATGCAGGTGGTCATAATGTTATGCCTGATCGGTGTATTTACATGGTTCACCTCGGTCCACCTGACTTAGCCATGACACAACAGTTGTTTTTCATCACCATACCTGCTGTGGCATCACTGATCAGGATGCAGTCAGAGCAGTGCAGCACCTTTATTCTATTCTACAATGCAGTGTTGAAACACTCTCTGTCCCCTAGATGCTCTGTTGTTTTTTTGTGTGTTTTGAAATTACAGACTTTTATATATTGTCGCTTTAAACTACTGAGAATTGTTTTTTTTCAGTTTAACCTTTGAATTCAGCTGTGTTATTAGTGTTGCAAGTTTTCTTTAGGACTGGTTATAGATTTTCTATAGTTTTGACGTGTTTGATTATTCTAATTAGGATAAATTTGCTTTCCAATACAGCTGCTAGCTTAGTATTCATAACTTCCTTGCTGTGGTGGAAAGTAACTAAGTACATTTACTCAAGTACTGTGCTTAAGTATAATTTTGTGGTGTGTGCAAAAAGTACTATTTCATACTTTTACTTCACTACATTGTAGATGTAGATATTGTATTTTTTACTCAACTATTGCTACTTTTACATATGTAAGGGATCTGAGTACTACTTCTACCACTGCTTCCTTGCATATGTTATTTATCTTATATTCCCATGTTGTGTTGAGTTTGAAGATGCACACTGCACCACAGCATCTCTGACTACACTGAAGCTGGCTCCGATGTTGTGATCACTGTATCCAACAGGATTATCAGATGGATTATCCCAAATCTGCTCTTTGCCAATCTGTCATTCATTAGTTGCCCCACAATATGCCTGCACAAAAAAAATTTTTAATTTTAGTATTGTGATGTTCTGAGCATCTAGCAAGTGTAGTTTTGTTGTCTAAATTTATCCTAGATCGCCAACTTCACATGATAGACGGTCACCCCCGTTACCTGAAATGGGAAAATTCACTAAAATAGCAGTTTATTCTTGGATTCTAATGTAACAGGAATTTATATAAGTGATTGACATACCGTTTATGTATTTCTAAATGTACCTGCAGTCAAAAAAAGTCAATCTCTCCCCATGTTTGTTTTCTACACACAGTCAGTGGGTGTGAGAAGGGTGTGTAACCGAGCCTATCCGGTTAAAGTTTGAGTGTAGAATTACAGCATTACTCTGTCCTGCAGGGAGAAAGATCGGCTCACTCTTTCATGAATGTGTTTGTACATCATGTGCTCCATGAGGAGATGAGACTTCAAGTCTCCTCCTGAATTTCTTCATATATTAAATATCTATGTAAAAGCTGAGAATTGGATGTACTTTGCAAATATTCACTTGGCAAATGTTTATGTAAATAAGTAAGGCAAACTGCAAGTAGAGTTGCACCTGCAATGGGCTTGATGCCTGTTGGCAGTGGCTTTCTATAATCATTTTGTTGCCTTGCTGTTTTGAGTTTAGTGGTGTTAAGATTTCAAACTGTAATGCTGCTTGTTTAATCTGTGTGTATTTGCTTTAGCAGAGTGTAGGTGTTTGCATTGTTATTGAACAGGCCTCTAATAATAGTAATAATAGTTTCCCCATTCTTTCCATGGCACCTGCCCTGTTATATATTGTAGGTTCACGTCCTCTGAACATTCCCCATCCGTGCCTTTATCCTTACTCTGTTATGTAAGTGAAGCACAACTTATTTTCAGTTAGTGTCAATAATTTCTTTGATTACTTGCATCACAATTTAAGATCCTGGCACGACATATTAAATTTTACTGATTAGACAGGCCAAAGTCCAAAGATTAATTTCCACTGCTATATAACGCATCAAGGCAGAAACGCCTTATGTTTGAGAAGCTGGAAGTGGAGAATGATTGGTCATTTTGTGTAAGCTGTTTTCAGCACCACTGTGCAGAAATACTGTGTAGAATGTTGCGTCTACTTCATGCTCAGTGTCACCCTGTCCCTGAAAAGTGCCAAATGGAAGGATTTACATACAGTATTTGCTGCACAGCCATGATGATTCAAACAGCTGATGTCTCTTTAAGTGAAGAATGGGGCAGGGACATGTACCATGTGCTCTGTGACCACACCTCTTCCACAGAGGCAGTTCCACTTCTGCCTTGTTGGTTTGCTGTGCGCATAGGCGTGCATCCTTAGTTGTGTATGTGTGCATATATATATATATATACATTACATTAAAGTGAGCTTGTCCTCTGTTTCCTCTCTCTCACTGTGTCACTGGTCCATGTGCTGCCGTTGTCAGAGAAACCCTTCACTGGTACCGACTCACCTTCCACCACTGGATTTGCATTGAATATTTTAACAGCACTGCTGCCCTCTGTTACCTGTATATTTTTGGGCCCGTGTGTGTGCACCTTACAACCTGTGCCTGTGTGACGTTGTTTTTCAGACAAGTTTGCATTTACACAACTGGCCTAACCAGAGAGGCAGAAGGGTGGGGGATGGGACTGCAGTAACAGTAGTGATAGCAGCAGCATCTTGAGGAGTGAGGGAGTCTAAAGAAGTGCAATCCTTCCAGCTCTGCCAGTCTTGTGGATTCAGTCTTCTATTCTAAGTCAGGCTACATATTCTGTCACACTTTGTGTCTTTCACTCGTCCTCTGTGCCTGGCACTGCCATCGCTGTATGGACATGTAACAGTGAGCTCCTTGATTTTCATACCGTCCCTCAGCATCACACTGTACTTTATTCTTTACGCATCATATGGACATTTTTTCTTTTTATCTCATCTGCCACATTTTCCCTCCTATCTCTCCAGCTGTTTTTTTTCTCTCCTCCCTTGTCTTTTTCCGGTCTCCGACACGGAGCAGCAATGTGCAGCCAGAAGAAATTAGCTGCTAGTATTAGTTGTTAGCATCTTTGCTCAGAGGAAGGCTTTTAGGGGGACTCCGTCCGCCACCGTCCTCCGGAGTCCATTGCTGACCAGCTATCCCATCTTCCCCACCCACTGCAGCACGGTGGGATGAGCAGAGGCTGGGTGAGTTAGCCTGAGTAGAGGGTAAGTAACAGGGCAGGCGATGCCAGAGAGTAAAGGACGAGGACAAGGAGGAGGTGGGGATGGGTGCTTGCGGGGCAAGTGGAAACTGAGGAAGGGAGGCAGCCGGTCAGCCATCCCGGCACTCTTCACGATCTCTGAGGAAGAGGAGGGACAGAGACAGAGAGATGCTTGCAGGAGGAGGAAAAAAGGTATGGATGGACAGGGTGGAGCAGAGAAACTGAAAGTGTAGCACACTGAATTGGGATGTTCTGGTACTTTGTGCTGTTTAAGCTCATATAGACTATTAAACGTGTGTGTGAGTACGAGAGAGGGCATTAATATCTGGGACTGAGCAGCTACTGGAACAGAAAGATATGTTGCTCAGTCTCTGGGACATATTACAGCAGAAATTGTGGCGTATTAAAGACAGGTGAGTGTGAGCATGTGCACATATTTGTTTGCTTGTTATTTGTTTGTATACTGTTTGCTCTTGTTGAGGAAAGGTCTGCTAGCCCATTGAGCTCAGCCATCCGGAGACAGGTGGCTGACAGGAGTGATGTGTGTGTGTGTGTGTGTGTGTGTGTGTGTGTGTGTGTGTGTAAAGCAGCTGACAAGGCAAGATTGGGTCAACACAAACACAACAAATGAGTGAGTGTGCAGTCCACTTCACACGGGTATGTGGTTATAATACATCAGCAAGCAGAGCAGTCAGTCACCATAACAGCACGTCTGTAGTCACAGCAAGTGTGCAACACTTGAACTTTTAGCTGATCTTCTCTTGTTTTCTTGGGTTTCTTCAGAACTTCATCAATCTTTAAGCATATAGAAAATGTTGACATTGTTTCCGTTATTTTGTCCACCCTATTTCTGTCAACACAGGCTAAATAGCAGAAACCTGTATAATGTCGTACAGTTCTACAGCAGCGCACACTACAGCCTTTAAACTGATCATACAGTTGAATCAACATCTGTAATATAGTGTAAAGAAAGAACAGCTATTATTTTCATAAAGAAGGATTTATTGCAGGACTGTTGTGTAGCACTGTATTTGTTTTAGCTAGGTGTAATAAACTGCCTGCTGAGTGTAGGGGTAGTGTAGTATTACAGACTGAATCTACTGTAAAAGTCACGTGCACTGCCAAATGAATGGTGGGGGAAAGGCTGCATGTGCACTGAGTTTAGCCTTATCTTTCCACTGCACAGAGCTAAATTTAATCCATCAGCTAAATTATTTATCTGCCCCATCTGCAGTTTATAAGACCGTACAATATAAGAAGTTGGTTGATTTCTGAATAACTGTTTCCTTTTGTTGCTTGACGTGAATCTCATATTCTGCAGGCTCCACGTGCATGAACAGCTCACTTAAACCATAAATATTACAGCAGACTAGACAGAGAGAGAAGGGAAATGAAGAGATGATTATGTGCTGTTGCACTAAGCATAATTTTAAAATCTCAGGTGACAGCAAAGTGATGCTTTCTTTTTTTTTTTAAGTAGTCAAGTGTAGGTTTTACACAAAGAATAATTAACATATCTGCACTCATATATTCTGTGGAACTGTCATCTGTAGTTGGCCTTTTATCAGGAATACTGCTGTCTTGATGGAAATGACCTTTAGTGCTTGGCTGGATAGATGTTAATAGTAGTTGGATGAACTGAGATGGAGTTTTTGTTGACATTGTTTGAGGAAAAGAGTTTTTAATCTCTGAATTTGACATCTAATAACTTAGCATTACAACTTGGAAGAACATTAGATGGCAAAATTTCAGTGTTGGGCAAATGTGTTTTCAAAAGCCATAATAGGTGACAGCACAAGACATTCTTTCTGAGTTATACTTGCATTGTGCAATGAATGCAACTTAATGTACTGTAAAGGAGCAGCTACACTTCTTGCACTTGTTTTACAGGCCTGAATGCTTGTCCTGGGGCTGGAAAGGAGGACTCTTGCCCCCTTTGCCTCTGCTGGCTGGAGTTTAGCTTGCAATTAGCAGCGACTAATCTTCTCAGGCTGCAGAGGGGGCAGGAGCCATGCAGCTTGCTTGCCTGCTACACACAGGCCTGGACAGAACAGCATTAATCTGCGGCTCTGACCATTTAATCTGACTGCCAGTGAATGCAGATATATTGGGGGGTGGGGAGCACGCACGGATACACGTGCACGCATCAGAACTAGGCAAGGAAGGGCCAGATTAAAATCACACTCTCCCTATTTATCACTCTGTCTCTTACGCGCACACATGCACACACATGGACAACAGGATTGGGGTTGGAGAGTCGCCACAACCTGTCTTGCAGTCAGTTGGCTCCAGGAACAGTGACACTGACCACAGCTGACCTCTCTCCCCTCCCGCATTCCTCTTTACTCTGGAAGCAGTTACGTTTTTGGTGGCCCTTCTTCTAATTGTTTGGAATTTCTTCATTGTGTGATTTCCTTTGTGCCCCACTGCACCATGGACTTTGAGCTTATCTTTCACTGTGTAGGATGTTTTCAGGAAGTAGGAATGTTGATTCTGGTCCTCCAGTCCGGGTAGTCGGAGTGGGACGTTAGCCAGGGATTCAACAGGTCCCATCCTGGTACTGACAACCCTGAAGTCATGAACCAAAATCCAGGTAAAAACTTGTTCTAAGACATCAGGACTTCTGCAGAAGTATAGTGCAGTGTGTGGGATATTTTTTTTCATTTTCTCAGAAAGTGGGTATCAGGATAGTTTTGGTTTTTGTGTTTCGGCACATTGGATTTGAAGGGTTACCATATGGATTTGTGAACCCTGAAATTTGGTCCAAACTTGAAAACCATATCCATACCCTAATACAATTTGTAATATTGAAATACTGTTGAACCTTGTTTTCTGTGAGGCCATCTCTTAGTGTTGTGTAGTTTTCTACATTTTTTTCTTTTATTTGGTTGCTAGAATATGAAGGAAGCTCATGTGTATGTGTGGTGATAGATGGGCAGGGTTTTCAGAGGTACTGATGGACATTTATCACTAGCGACTAACACAACATACTGAATGAAATGGACTTTGGTGTGTTTGCAAAGGTTGTTAAACTGCTGCCTAATGAGCACAAGCAAATATACTTTCTGCTATTTGAGGTGTGTTTGTTTAATGTGTACAACAGATGGATGAGAATATGAGATGCAGTGGGAGGACCCAACTGAAACAGAAAGAAATCCATCACAGGCGAGCAGTGAGCAGTTGTGTAATATTTTGCTTTGTGTTAAACCCCACAGTGCAGCAGTCAAAGCAAAATCTGTTTCTGTGCCAGATGTTTTTAAGGAAAGGAATTGTGTCTTATTGATGTGGTTTTAGCGTACCCAGGTCTTTTCCATGAAGCGCTGCAGTTCAAGATGTCAAATTAAGGCAAGTGTTCTGCCCATAGCCTGTTGCCACCGGTTTATTGGGTAGGTGCCCACTCATCTTGTCAGAGGCTCCAGTACATCACTCTCCAGAATTTGCATAAATGGATGCAGCTCCTTGTGACTCTACTCTATTGTATTGTATTGTAAAGCCTTTTACAAATTCAAAGTTCAGTATTTGGTTGCAGGACATTAAGCTTGTCTCTCAGTGAGCTCATCTCTTTGTTTGAGGAAAATGATTTTAGACAAGAAATACGTTTATTGTAACCTGGCCCTGCTGATGCCTTTCCTGTTTTAACGGTAACCATTATGAAACCAGTTCTAAGACCAGTGCGCCTCAGGCAGAGTAGACATGCTAATACTTGTGTATAGGCTATACCTTTGTAGATGTTCCATACACTGAGACATGCGATACCTTTGCAGCTATGATGCCATGTCTGTGCACAGCCCGTGCGGATTATTTTGAAACATCTTGGCATGGTAGGGTGAGTTAAGTTTCTAACATTTTCTGCAGCATGCCACGTCACAATCCACTGAGTGCTGAAATAAGTTGCTATCATCCTGGCTGCCTGTTTCAGCTTTGTTGAGTGTAAAGGCACAGAAGTTCCCAGAAGTCTATTTTTCATAATGTTTATTAATTAACTGGAATTTAGATACTATATGTGTATTACACACATGGCTCATTCCTTGGTCCTTCAAATTCAGCATCATAGTTGCCAGTGTTGTCTTAATGACATAAATATGACATGGACTAGTTTGATAGTATAAGATTCAGTTAAGGGGAAAATCTGTGGCAACAATACAAAAATGGAAGGATGCACAAAATGTTTTGATAGTTGCTTTAATGCGACGTGCACCTGATTGAGTCCACCAAGGCCTAAGAGTACACTCATAGCACTGGATGTGAAATCTGAACTTTGTTCCTTTTGTCCTCTTCATCATTAATTATTCTCTGAAGCTTATATGTCGCTGTAATGAAGAGATGAGGAAACTGCGTCTAAGAAAGGAGGAGACATGTAGAATAGTGTGTGTGGCTTGTGCTATTTCGGGTGACGTCCTCTGGTCTTAGTTTGTCAGGGAGACTGATTTAACTTTCTGGGACAGACTGGTCTCTAAGGAGACTTAACTGTCACACTCACACACAGAGGAGGTGCTGAACATGTGTTTTGTGCACCTGCAGTCTTAGTTCATGTAAACGTTTACATAACCCTGTCAGCAAATCATCATAATGCTTGCTATTATAAATATGTTTGCCCTTGGCTCATGTGTTTCTGCATAGGGCCCAGTGTTAAGCTCAAAGTGCTGAGTCACCCTGAACCTTATAGTCCCATTAATCAGTTGCCTGTCTCTGAGCAGCGAGGAACACTGAAACACACTGGGAACATCTGAGAATACAGGAAACATGGTGTGTATATATGGTTTTCTCCCACTCTGCTTCCCGTCAGGCTACAGTACACTGCAGAGCTAATACAGACTGTTTAGTTTACTGAGCTCTTTAATTCACTTCATTGTCTTGTATAGCCTGTACACATCACACACACACACACACACACACAACCATTCTGTGTTTGGATCTTACTGTGCATCTGATCACACCCTAATGACCCTTTTGTATAAGTTCCCTCTCAAGTCTGGTCACATATTCTAGTAGCATGGCTCTTTATGGCCAAATAAGGACATCACATAAATCTGTGGGCTCATTAAAAGAAAGATTTACAAATTTAAACTCTGCAATTGATCTGATTATATTGGATTGGAAAAACAAAGCATAGTTGTTACATAAGAAACATAACTGTATGGTTCAAAAGGTGTATTTGGTGTCATTTCATACTCCTCCACAGTGCACCATTGACTTACACATACAGTGCAGTTCTGTCTTCATTTACTGTATGTTGTGAACTCTACTGTGAATAAGATAGCTAAAATGCTGTGCAAAGTAGGGAGCAGGTGTACTAATGTGTTACTTAAAGTGAATTTGTGATGCATTCAAGACTGTCTGTCTGTGTGGTAAATTGTATTTGCCTATATGTCTGTGCAGATTCTCAGTCATCCAGGTCATAGTGAGCTGAAAAAAACTTAGAAAAAGTTGCCTATATACTGTATTTGGTAGAGCAAGCCCTTTTTTATTTAAGAAAGTTTGTTTGAAATGCACTATTGTAGAGGAAAGCTGTGATGGAAAATGCTGCTGAATGGATGAGTTTTATTCAGTAAAAAAAGCTGTCCTTTCTTCTTTCTCTGTGTGTTGTTTATTTCCAGCATCTTACTCCCAGTACAAACCTGATTATGGCAGCACATCTTTAGCCACCCGCCCAGACTCGTCCGCTTCTGGACAAACCTACACTCCCACCCTGACACCCACCCCTAGTCACACCACCACCAGTAACAATGCTCCCATCAAAACAGGTAAGTCACACAGGTACAGGGATGGGGAAATATTTCTCTTATGTTCAAAAAAAAAAAGAAAAAGAAATCACATAACACAGGATTTGTTCTGTCTTCATCAGTCTTTCAACCCAGTTGTAGAGTAATTTATTCCACTGTTTAACTCTTGTTTGCACTGCAGATTCATTGCTTTTCAACAGAATTGACGAGAGACAGAGGCTGGCCCGTGAGCGCCGAGAGGAGCGTGAGAAACAGAATGGTGTGTTTTCTTTGTGTGTGTGTGAAAGAGAGAGACAGAGAATAAAAAATACATTAGTGTGTAAAGGGTCTTTAGATACATCCCTCACTTTATTTTCTTTCCCACAACATATCACGACTAAACAAGGGTGGTAGCTGTGGTGAAGTGCCTGTCTGGTTGTTACATAAAGTCTAGTCCGAACCGAAGCCAGGCTCCACTGTCTCCATGACACCCATGTTATATAATGGGTCAGGCCACGATACAGGTTTCAGGAAGGCTGGTGTTTTGAATGTGTGCTTCTGGAGGAGTGTGAGTGAGTGAGAGACTGCAACACATGGGAGTCATAGCCTGTCTGTATGTTGTTAATGCTAGAGTGTATTTGTGTTCATAGTAATGTACAGTGGTCAAACCTCTGGGCTCAGGTGAGGAATTTGCTTTGTGTTGAGAGCTAAAGCCTAGCCACACATCTACAGCTCACCCATCACACTGCTGCTGTAACCCTGTGTTTTTCCTAACGTGTGGACACCACAAATATTTCTGTGTTTGTGTATGTCCGCTATGCCTCAGCTGTCAAGGAGGCCCAGTGGCAGGCACGTGAGGAGAGAGCCAGGCAGTACTATGAGAAGCACCTGGAGGAGAGGAGGAGAAAGCTGGAGGAGCAGAGGATAAAGGAGGAGAAGAGACGGGCCGCCGTGGAGGAGAAACGACAGCAGAAGCTGGAGGAGGACAAGGTGCTGACACTGTTCATGTCATGTACAGACCTGTGCTTCCACGTTGATTCATGCTTCACATAAACACATGGATACACATCAATGCAGGCCTCTCAGCACAAGGTCTGGGAGCAGCATTACTTTCTCATAGTTTCACTAATAATATCCTAATGAATAGGCTTTTCAGTAAACCATTAACACAGTCTCTGCCCTTACTCTTCTGAGTCAGTTGGAGTTTGGTCTCTCCTGCTAACTCCCTATCTGCACACGTTTCCAGTTTTCATTTGGACACCATATATGGGGAAAAATGGATGTGTTCTTTGTGTTGCAGAAGAAAATAATTCTGGCAGCTTTGCTTTGGGTTTGAATTTGAAAGCTATTGAAGCTGTAGCATGCAAATCTTCAAATCAAATTTTTTTATATAGCACTTTAAAAACAACATCCAGTCGACCAAAGTACTGTCAAAGGCTAAAAGTCCATTTGAAATGGGGTGACAAGAGCATGGGCCAACCACCATGGCTGAATTCCATAGACTACAGACCCCCCCGTCACCAGGTAATCGATTTAATGAACCTGATTATACTGATGAGTCAGAGACGCACAACATGATTCTGAAGCAGCACATGTTGATGGCTTTGCAACAACATGTAGTACAATGTAAGAAATCTGAAATAGGTTGAGTCCCTGTGGTCTACCATCTACTCCTCAAGTGCAAAGAGAGAGAGAAACAGTGGCCTAATATGCAGCAGTTGTCTCTTCTGAGAACTGAACCAAACCGGTGACACTGCAGCGACATGCCGTGCATCCTAACAATTAGGCCAGCGGACGCCATACCAACCTAGTTTTTTACCTTGCATTCTTATAATGTTTTCAGGAGCTGAACGTCTGCAGGTGCACAAGATTCTTGGTGTGGCAGCAGCTCAGAAAATGACTTAACTTTCTGGTTACTGTAAATTTTAAATCCCCAGAGTGGTTTATCTTTCATTTTGAGTGTTTCAGAATTTTAATTTTTATCTGCCAAGTACTGCTGTGTGTGGTGTGCAAAAAAGCATGCTTCACATAACATACCACAAATGTCCATTCAGAGAAAAGACTGTCCCAGCGTAGCAGCACTGTTTGCATGTTTGACTTGAATATACAGTATGATGAAGTGGTCGTTGTTGTTTTTGTACCCGAAGGCTCGCCATGAGGCAGTGATACGTCAGACTTTGGATAGGAGCCAGAGAACCAGACAGAAGCCTGACCGTTGGTCATGGGGAGGGGCACGGAATACAAACACTCCCAGCACACCAGCTGGTACTTCAACACACCTCACTACCAGTTGATTCTTAGTATTGTTTAGCCTCATTTCCTCTTCTATTGATACTTATTAAGTACTGTCTCATCTCACTGTTTTCTGACAGTGTCTTTTGTGTCAATATGTCTGCCCACCTCTGCGAGTCAGTCTTTTTCTGCCATGTTTGTATTCAACTTTTCATATGCTGCCGTCTGATGTTACTACTGACTCACATCCTGCTCTGCCTCTCCCACTCTCTCCTTCCCTTATTCTCAAACACAACCTCTCCCTGACTCACGTTCTCTCTCTCTTACCCTCGCTCTCACATCTCCATCTGCCTCCTCTCTGTTCTTTGTTTTTCTGTCTCTGTTCTTTCCCATCGTGGTCCAGGTTTTGTTGAGTCAGCTTTCCTCTCTCTGCTCGACCTTGCTGGACTGGAGCACGTGCACAGTGCTTTCAGTCGCTACCGCAGATATGGAATGACCTCCCAATGTGAATATAGTAGCAGTGTGTCAGTTAGCTGGCTAGTGTTAGACCGCTAGCTTTAGCTCTTTGTTTTAGCACACTGGCATTAATGTAAACGTAGGCCAATGTGAATGGCATGTTTAGTGTTTGTTGGATTTAGATGTAGCAATCCAGTTTGTGACTTTAAGTTGTATTTTAAGACATTGTAAGACCATTCAAAACATTTTAGCTTCATTTTTAGATGACATAAGTAACACTTAAATGAGGAAATGCTTTCTCTTCTTTCTCCTTTCTGTCCCTCACTATAATAATATGCCATTAATTTGCTTTTATTACGGTGCTTCTTTGTAGATGCTGACAGGAGGTCAGTGTCCACAATGAACTTGTCCAAACAATCTGAACATGTCATTACCAAGCGCCTGTCCTCCTCCTCTGCCACACTCCTGCACTCACCAGACCGAGGTAATGAAAATGAACAAACACAGACACCAATATTATTCATTACATTATTCACGTGTGACTGCTAGAATATTAAGCTCTAGTCTCAACTGCTCATTGTTTAACTTAAGAACAAAATACTGCATTATACAATGAAGTAACAAAATTTTTTTTTTTTTACAGTTTTGATAGAATAAAATGAAATGATCGGTACCTCTCCTTTGTCTGTTCGATAAATATGAAGCTACAGCCAGCAAACCATTATACTAACTTGACTTAAAGACCAGAAATGTGGAGAAGTAGTGTCTAAACAGAGACCAACAGAGAGAAAATGCAGTGGAAACACAAAGCAGGGTGGTCTGTGTCAACCCAGGAGACTGTGCTCGGTGATGGTTGAGGGAAGTACAGGGTATACCGCTCGTTAGGTTCCGATAGTGGAAACACAGCAAAAGACTACATACAAGCACCTATGAAGTTCATAAATTTAACATGTGGGGGCGACTGTGGTTCAGTGGGTAGAGCAGTCGTCTCCCAACTGGAGGGTTGGAGGTTCGAATCACGGTGCCTGCAGTCTACATGTCGAAGTGTTCTTGGGCAAGACACTGTGAAACCAACAAGTTGCCCGTGATGGTTAGAGCCAGCTTGTGGCTTTGATGGGTTTATGTGCAGGGATATTTCCTAGTTGCATGCAGTGAGTAGACTCCATAGAACCACAACATGTCATTTTATTGCAAGTCCTGGTGAGTGGATTTTGTTACCGTTGGGCAGACTATTATCCTAAGCTCGCCAGTTGCTGGCTGGAGGTTCATGTTCAACAGACAGTTATGAGAGTGGTATTGATCTTC